GAATCAATGAAGTTATCCAAGCCTTTGCTCTCAGCAGCATCAATAGTGACTGGACTCAACATGAGTGTGAATGGGTTCTGATTTTGTCTCAACTGAATCATGATTGGAGAACTGAGCTCTGTGGATCCCTCCACAATTGAATATTCAGACTCCAAAAAATTGATCTCCAACACTGAAGTGACAAAATATCATACAGACTATAGGCAGACATCACGCGTGGATAACTTACAATCATTATCTATGATTTTCACTGTTGCGGAATCCCTTATATACTCTCCATTTGCAGGTAGGCCTGTAATAAGAGCAGGATTGTCGGGAGCAAACCTCAGTAGGACCCTATCATCGTATTCCAGAGCAATGAAATCATTGGCAGCAAAGAGTCTGATCTCGGAATTGTTTGTGACTCGGATTGGTGTTAACCGTTCAAAGTCAGAATCAACTATGGGGAGACAAATGTTTGTGTGGTGAAGATGCTACAAACCTTATTGTTTGGGGGTACAGCTTACCTGCAGTGCCATCTGCTGTGGCGGTGATGAGTCCACTGACAACAAGAACACCACCAAACTGTGTCATTCCCTTCACATTGAGTTGAAACATTGTGTTCAACCGTTCATCCTCCACCACATCATATGCAGCTTGAGCAATCCCATGAACTGGAACAGAGCGGTCACCCACTGCAGTTGTTGCAAGTACCTAACTGACATACCTATACAGAGATTGCAGGAGGAGCCACCATTGTATGAGAGACCTGCGTTAGTCCCAACACAGCAGTCTGCTTGATCTGCTATTGGTAACCCTGTTTCTGTTACGTTTATTGTATCTCCAGTGCAGACTGTGTCCGTGTAGCACTGGCAGTTTCCTGTAAGGAGACAGGTTTTGAAAAAATATGTAGAGAGAGGGCAAGAGCATGGGAAGTGTAAAACAAATGGTTTATAGATAATAGGTATTGGCGTATCTACGTCTTCAGCTAAAAATATTTCATAAAAAAACTTCAGCTGGCATAAGTTACATAGATACGTGAGAACATTGCACTGAAAGTTACCTCCTTGCAAGTCCAAGGGCTGCAGCTACCACAAGAAATTTCTGCAACATTTCTCTGTGAAAGTTGCCGGTTACAGGGCAACAACTCTGCATGCAACACTGACAAAAGCTCTTTTATTGCAGCACACACAAGAATATCACACAACCAGGAAGTTACGGTGGCTGAGAGAGACAATTCACGTTTCGTGTTTCCTATTCTTGTGTAGCTGCCTTCTACAAGAACAGCTAAATGCTTTACTATCACTTCATACAAAGAGAGCAGTTCATATTGGTGCACTCAATTGTACACCAGAGAGTGGGATCTTCCTTATTTTGTAGCCCACTACAATGTAAGTGTTTTGTAGCTGCATTCATAGCTGATGAGGCAGCTTTTACCACATAACAATGGTCTCCTGCTTAGGTATGCAATCTTTCAGTGACTATAATTATTGTGGTTGCATACAAATACAACCACCTCATGGGAGTTGCTCTTTGAAGTAAAGAGAACCACTTGTGCTGCCTTGCAGATCAGGACTACTATACTACTGTTTTTTAGCACCAGCTAGCAGGCTACTCTACTTTTGTTGGCTACGAAAAGAGTAGCTCAAAGTGCACAAGTATAAGATCATTGAGTAGTATCCAACTGCCTGATATCTTGTTTGGTGGCTGTTATCAAGACTAGCTGTAAGTCAAGTGGCACACAGAGGGTAGAGGAAGCCGTCCTGTGTATGTAGTAGCTATCAAGTCGTTGTGAATGTTCTCATGTGCACTATGTAGATATCAATTGCTAGCAGAGGGGGCGGTCCTGAGTACTACTATCTCACAAGCTTTTGACTTTGTGTGTCATCTATTCTTAGATATTGTAATATGGGGGTTCTATATAAGGTAGCGGTCTGGTGTTCTGGTGATGAAAGAGGATTAAAGCAGCCTCAACCATTTCGGGATTGATTTGTAGCCGTGCACCATTAACCTGCTTGCATTCTTCAAGGCTCAGAATGTCACATTTTGCACCCTTTTCTGCAAACATGAAGGGTCTTTTATCCTGAACATCTTGGGTATAAAGTCCAGAACAAAGGCAATCTCGATTGGCTTTTTTAATAATTATAACAAAACTCAGTTTTAAATGCAGGGAGTAAGAGCCTCTGAAGCTCAGTATTTAGAGTACTCGAGCATTTTACTGAGTGACCATAGTAAGTTAGTAAGTAAATGCTGTATTGTTATAGAACAGGGATAGCTGTAGGGATGGAAAGTAACTACTAGAGGTGATGCAAACACACACCAAGCTACATGACACCATCCCTAAATCTATACACTGGACAAAAAACATGGGACAGTGTCATGTAGTTTTGTGTGTCTTTTGTGTGTACGACCCCTTGTTTCTTCCTTTTTTGAGCCATCCCCATCCCCTTAATTTTGAAGAAATGATAGTTCCACTTGTCACTTGCAGCATGGTCTTTGTTTTCGGTCTGCCGCTCTTTTGGCACAGTACCGGCTATAAGACTATGGCTCATAATATCAAATGCAGGCTTTTGTGTGTAGCCATGTCAGTTAAGTCGCTGATAGAAACGAGGATGGTAAAAACATGACTGTCCTTCGGTACAATGCAGAGACAACCACAAACTCTGCAACAAGACGCCTGCCATGTCTCTTTCTCATCACTAGTACTTTAATGAAATTGATGCTACACACATGCAATTCACTAATGGAGAAGACTGTATTTTCTAACTAGACACACATCTACACGGAAAATAAGGTTCATTAACACACTGAATTACTTCAGTCAGTTTCCACAGCAATAGGGTCAAGATTACTAGCTGTTGTTTTCCGTGTCTATATATTAGCAACCACCAAGCCTGCAGACTTGCTCTCCAAGATTTCTGATGGCACAGACATTGAGAGTCTGAGTAATCCTGTCCCCCAGTTGTGGGTCATGTGCAGTACCAGTCTCACACTCTTCTTCATCGAGACTGGAGATAGAGGTGGGGCAGGACAAACTCACCTTCACCAGCAGACCGTCTAGAACGAGGGACGGACCCGTGGACACCCAACTCTGAATAATGCCCACCAGGTGGGTGGAGTTTGTGGTGGGGAAAGGGTTAACGAGGGTGGAGCGGTAGGTGGCCTTGGTGGGGTTACTGTGGCAGAGAAACAGTCCTGGTCTAAGGAAAGATGGGGTTAATTTGTAGCAGTCACTGCAAGCTTCACGAATTATCTGAATCAAGTAAGCCTGAAGCTGTTTCTCAATAATACGAGCAATTTTCTTCAACTGCAAAAAATAACATTGTGCATTAGTGACGAAACAAGAGATAGAGCTTACTCCCCAGTCCAGACAGTGTTGAAAGGGTCCAAACTGAATTTGAAAAGATGTTTTATCTGTGAAACACAAGATTTCAAATCAGTTAAAAAAGTGGTAAGGTGCACTGATGCATACCAAAAGCGAAGGGTACATTGATTGGAGGTCCTTGAACAAGTGTGACATCATTTCTTGCGATGTAATACAAAGAGAAGTTATGCACATATGCATTTGTAAGAGTGATGTCATCGTCCAAAACCAAAACATCTGAGGTGGTTCGTGGTGGGTAGACCCTGTGGTATTGGCTAATGATAATGCCAGTGGTGGAGAGAGAGACGGTGTACTGGATGCAAGTGGAGAGGTGGACACTGCCACTCCAGGAGATTCTCACTCCTGTGGCGTTCACTGGGAGGAAACTGACCTCCGCTGGCCTATCTGTGGGGATTACAATAATATTAGCTTGCTTACATAACACATTCATACACATCACAATTAATTTTATTCCCCATCAGACTTATTTTTCTTTACATAATCACACAAAAACAACACATTAGAATATCAAGACAATGACAGCAAAACACAAGGGGAAGTTTAAAAAAAGACAGAAAGAAGTGGTAAGGGAGGAAAAACGAGAGCAAAATAAAAAACAAAGACAAGAATGTTGTTATGCTACCGTATTTCTTACCATCGTCATCAGTGATAACCACCACTCCAGTGGCGGAGGTGATGGAGATGTGAGATCTGGAAAACCGTGTGAAACTGAGAGAGAAGGTCTCCTCCGGTTCACTGACCAGGTCATTGGCCAGACTCACATTCACACAACGCTGGCTCTCACAGGCAGCAAACGTCAGCACTTGGTCCACTGCCACATAGTCTGCTGGACTCTCTGTATAGAACAAACTTTGCATGATCTGGTAGCCAGTATGCATGCAAGTGGAAAGTCATTGGAAGGGGTATAATATAGGGATAGCTCGAAGCACCAAACAGGAAGAGACAAGGTGTCATTGCACAACAAAGACCACAAAGCTATATAACACCATCTCTATATCTTTGTCTGGTCATTTGCCTATTATCAATGGGTGGTTCTCATAGGGTCTTCAATGCTACCTGCAGTTTGATCACTGGTGGAGAGAGTACTATAACTCTTGAAAAGAAAGAGCTGTCCTGGGTGTAGTTGACTTGTTTGCCTTTTCTTGCCTTTCTACCTCGTTACCAAGTTGTTGAGACATGCTTATAGGGTCCTTTATGTATTGGTAGCTACCTGCAGTTCGATGACTAGTGGAGAGAGTGACATGGAAAGACTCGGTGCTGGGACACGAAGAAGTGGTACCAATTGCATTGATGCACACCTCAACCACTTCATCTGACTCTGATACGTTATAGGATGTCACTGCCAGCCCCACCACTGTAGGGGAGAGTATGACAGTTAGTGTAGCATCCATACTTGATGTAGACACTGAACTAACTCGTTACATATTCTTATAGAATAAATGTACACACATGGAGAGATTTGTCTGCGTCGGGAAAGAGTTGAGGCAAGAAAGATGAATCAAGCGCAAGGATGGTGCCACATAAGACAAGAAAACCCGTCCAAGACAGAACCAAATACTACTGTTCTTTACTGGATACATTCTTGTGGACATTATGACAGTTGCCTAGGTTCTGGTAATTCTACTATAACACTGCCATTCTTTCAGTATGCTACACTAACAGACACAAAAACGTTGTACATGTGATGTAGCCTACTTGCTTGCAGAGTTAGTACGGTTAAAGGGTCAGAATACAGTCCAACATCTCCATTCTCATTCACAGCTGCTACTGATACAGAGTAGTTGGTTAGGGAAGTCAGTCCAGTCAGTGTAACTCGTCCTCCACTCATCCAGTCTTCACCATCTCCTAGCACTTGGTCTACAGTCTCAGCCTTGCCGTTTGCAGTGAACTGAACTCTGTACTGAGTGATTGGACCATTGACCAGTCTACAGTTGGAGAGGCCACTCCACTGGACAGAGATCTCAGTGGGGCTCTCAGCCTCTGCTCTCACATCCCCTGGAGCCTCTCCTGCACCTGTACATACACACACACTATACACACAGACTGTGAGACTATTTGGTGGGTCTGACTTGTCTGTGGTGTTAGAACTCTCCTGGTCTCACTGGGTCGACTAGTACCTCTAACATCCCTGACTGCATTCACAGTCACCTCATATGTGGTGTAGGCTCTCAACGTATCAGTCACTGTTGACCCCACATCTCCTCCTACAGCAATACTGACAGTAGTGGAGGGAGCACTGACTGTTAGAGTGGCAGTATGAGAGTCGGTACGGTTGCACAGCCCCTGCTGGTATTGTCCATCAACTTGAGAGAATGTGACAGTGTATCTGTCAGCATCTTCTACTCCATCCCAGGACACTCTGACACTAGCTGGTTCCGCAGCAACTACAACGTTTTCAGGAACTGTGGTTAAAATGGTGAGTGAGCAAGAGAGTAAAGAAAGAAGATCGTGAGTTTGTGTGTGGTTGTTGTGGGAGTGGAGGGAGAATAAATTGTAAACCCAGGATATATAGTCATCTTTTCAGAAATTCCAGGTAGGAAAATAGGTAGCTACGCTGGAAACAGCTTCTACTGAGATGATGTATAGGTTTCCCTGTTAGTGAGACCAGTTATTTCGGTCTAGTTGTGTTTCCACTAACAGTCTTAGTCCCATTTCCACCACTTCAGCCAGCTAGGAGATAGTGGCCATTCCATGTGCCCGGTTGTGTAACATTGTAGTCTGAATACTACACATGAAACGACTTATGTGCGTGTACTATAGCTACACAGATGTATGTATACGAGTATGTATTTATGTATAATGTCTCTCAGTATCTCAGTATACTGCCTCTTCATACTTCATCAGCAGGCATTAGTTATTGCTTTGTGGGTGTCCCCGCCTCCCAAATTCCGTATCACTACAAAATAATGCTTGTGCTTTCTCTTTTCAGGCAGTGGTCAAAAAGTTAGAATTCATTAACCCTTAGCGCGCATGCGCAGTGAAGGTTATGGTAGTTGTCGTGTGTGTCTGTCCGTCTGTCCGTATCAGTTCAGCGTCGGATAATGGTCGAAAGACATGTGGAGTTTTCTCTGAAACTACTGCGTTTAGGAGTTACGGCGTGAAACACGAGCGAAGAAAGCAATATGCTAATTAGAACAGGCTTACCTCGAGCGGGTCCGCTTGCTTCGTGTATCTTGAAGGCACAAGAAGTCACCGCGAAGGGCATGTATCGACTCCTGCATGCTACCTACTGCTGTAGCTAGCCCGTGTCAGACTCTCCGCGAGCTATACATGTGCAGTTCGCTGAGGATGCTTTTCAAGTTCATTTTAGCTACTCACCATCACTATTAATGATCTCAACTGTTCCATCAATAGGATCTAACTCAATCCTGGGGTCTAGAGAAGGTGTCCTTGTCAGGGTGTAGGTAAACAACTCCCTCTGTTCGTCCACCATGTCATCTGTTATGGTGACATTCACACACTTCCTCGTCTCACAGGCATCAAACATCAGAGTCTCATTAATTGCTCCATAGTCCATGGTTTCCACTGTGGAAATTACGTGACACTGACTGCTATTTGTGCTAAAAAGGCAAGAACAAACTGTATATTAACAGATTAGCTGCCAACCTGTACAGGCAACCGTCAGTAAAAACCTCAAGAAATATCAGTACAAAGTCAATCATCTTCTGTATAAGCATGTGCGCATCGATGCGGAACTCGGTCCAGTACTAGCTACGAGCAAAGATTTATATCTCTAGGCTGCTAGGTAGGAGGTAGAGCTATCTCTCCGTGTTTTCACGCCATCGTGGTGCTATTTTCAGTGTGAAATATCCGTAAAAAGCTGCAAAGAAGTGATGATTCACGCAACTCGCGGTTCTCCGTAAAAATCGGTTCCGTTCCGTACTACCGTATAATCAATAGCAAATCCGTAAAAATACGGAAGAAATCGTATATATATGGTTGGCAGCACTGAATTATTAAGTGGAAAAATCATTGAAGTGGGGATACAGGGATGGCTCAAAACATAAAAAGTAAGAAACAAGGGGTCATTTCACAGACACACAAAGCTACATGACACCATCCCTACATCTTTGTCTAATAATATTATATTTTGCACATAAACCAACAGGACAAAGATAGGAATGGTGTCATGTAGCTTTGTGTGTCTGGTGAAATGACCCCTTGTTTCTTACTTTACATGTTTTGAGCCATCCCTATAGCTAGCTATGCCTACTTCAGTTTGATTTTTCTGCCCCTATTGTCTTGTTCCATCTTTAGTAACATTTGCAACTTTAGACCTTATATACTGCCACATTCCCTTTAACCCGTGCCATCCCATAGAGCTAATATACCTGCAGTCCCATCAGCAGTCAAAAGATCAACTTCAAAAGGGAATTCAATAGGACAGGTAATGTCTGGGAATGAAACATTGGCACAGAGCTCAACATAACCAACATCTTCTGATACACTGAAAAATGTCTGCTCCAGGCCAACCACAGCCCCTGAAGAACAAAACCAGTGGTTACAAATTCTCTCCCACTGTACTTTGCATTAAACTCACTGTCATTGTCCAAAATAAGAATGGAGGCTTGATCAAACAATTCCTTTACTAAAGTAAGAACTGTTGTTTGCGGATAATTATCAACTCCAAGCGTAAGTCCTGCATATTCATTCGCCTCCAAACGTAGGTCGTCGTAGATGGTCTGGTTGTAGCAGACTATTCTCATCTGTTCACTAATAAGAATATCGTCTATTAAATTGACGGCAGCAGTCTGGTGTTGAAAATCAGATCTCTCTGCCATCGGATACTGACCGAGAATGTCAGGAATATCAGGGGCTGGGGAAGAAAGTGATATTTATTCAAATGATCTTTAATTCATGCTTGTTGTCTCACTTGCAAAAGGGACGTCACCAACTGGAATGTACATGGACATTGGAAAGTCAATTACAAACACATTGACAGTTGCATCAAGAACGTCAATTTCAGGTCGAGTGAGATTGACACAGACCAACACGGGATCCGCACTCTCATCAACAGTGTACATTGTTCTTACAAAAGCAACCTGAAATGACTCTGCATAACTTAGATCATTGTCATCCTGGATGCAGATTGTGTGCTCACAGAAGTAGTTATCTGCCCTATCAGCATCGTGGTTGCATCCAAAATGCTGCTCACGACGACCCGGAACATTGACAGGGAATATGCGTATAGTGTAGCATTCTTTGTTCTCTGGAATCAAGTCATTTCTGATGGTTGTAAGCAATGGTACAATTCTACGCGTTCCCTGGTCCAGATCACGGGCTTCCTCAATGGGACCATCGGGATTTTCCCTTTGACCAAATGTAGCATCAAATATGGAACTAACTGCTGTCAGTGTCTCAACAATAGCATTGGCTTCCTGGAGCCGGAACACCATTGGATGTTCTCTTTCAGCTGTCCTCACGCTCTCAACGTCGATCTCCAGCTGGAACAGTTCCTCTCCAGGCACTTCACCTTCCGATACTGTTCGAATGCGTTGAGTGAACCCAATGATCATAGCTATAGCAGACAGAGAGAGAAGCTTATAACAAGACAAGTGAAGACTAGAGATGAACATACGATCATTGTCGATGATTCTAATTTCAGTGGCTCCACGTCGTCCAAAGCACTCTGTTGATCTTCGAAGTTGGAAGCAACTGATACCATCAGGAACGTCCGGTCCTATCTCAGCAACTATTGCAAAACTCTGCTCGTCCTCATCAATATCGTCGTCATCGATTGTGAAAAAATGTGTATTATCGTATGATGGGTTGGACTGTTGGCTGGAATTGTAATCCTGGTTACACTGTCACTGAAATCGGCAACTTATAGAGAAGACAGAGATTGACATTACTCAACATTTGCAGATAGATACTGCAATAAACACACGTTATACACCTACACTACGCAACAGCACCTATAGCCCTATATACAACTATCGACCACCCACCCAGAACCTTAGACGAAGCCAGAAACACACATACTCTTAGTGGTTTGCTGCCTTACTCCCTGCAGTTCTCCAGATGTACTTTTAAACTGTAATCTACATCTAGTTATTGCTCTTTTTCACTGCAATGGTGCCAGCACAAACTTTTTTTTGCTACAAACACTGTATATTCTACTCCAGAGACCCAGTATATACTGTGATTACTCCACCCCTCTTTCCCCTGTAAAGTCTATAGCATTGACTAAAGGATCTCGAAGTCAGGCTGCATTTCCTAAAACATTTGGCGTCCAATCAAAGCCCCCCAGCTCCCAGCCATAAGCCTAAAACATACCACATACATTGTTCAATCAAAGCTACTGTTATGCACATTAACTATACTGCTGTGCTCTTGACCAGGAGAAGCCTGGTTTCTTGCGTTTGACTGCAGAACCCAAGCCTTTGCTCTCCGTAGCATCACTCGTGCCTGGACTCTCAACATGAGTGTGAAGGGTTCGGATTTTGTCTCAAACTGGAATCATGATCGGAGAACTGAGCTCTAGTGGACTCCCTCCACAATTGACTCACTCAGACTCCAAAAAATTGTATCTCCAACACTGAAGGGACAAACAAGTATGCAGACTGGCAGACCTCACACGTGGATAAACTTACCCGTAATGGTCTGGAGAGGATGTGCACAGTTGGTGCGGATGCGTACATACTGTCTCAAGTGAGGCAGGAGGTCGGGAACGTAAGAGCGCAGATCGGTCGGGATTGGTCATATTTATACGGTTCAGTAGGACACTCGATCATTCGGATCCCGGCAAGAAATCATTCGCAGCAAAGAGTCTGATCTCTGCATTGTTCGTGTGACTCTGATTGGTTCCAGGCTGTTCAAGTCGGAAACACCCACTATGGGGACACACAAAAGTTTGTGTGAGAAGACGCTACAACCGTTTCATCGTTTGGTGTACAGGTACTGCAGGCCGGCCATCTGCGTGTGGCAGGTGCTGACTCCAGTGACACAACACAGAGCACCACCAAACTGTGTCATCCCTTCACATTGAGTTGAAACATAGTGACCAACTGTTGATCCTCCACCACATCATTAGCAGCTTGAGCAAACCATGAAGAACTGAAAACAAAGGAACAGAGTAGTGGTCAGTCAATGCAGTATTCAAACACCTATTTGATCATCCATACGGAGATTGCAGGAGCTATAGTTGTATATAGACCTGCGTTAGTTAAAAACAGCAGTTGCTTGAGTGATATTGGTAGCCATGCTTCTGTTCGGTCTATTTTATCTCCAGCGCAGGACTGTGTTTGTTGATGAAACACTGACAGTTTGCATGTAAGGAGGAAGGTTGTGAAAACATGGAAGTGAGAGGGAGGGTGGAGAGGGCAAGAGCGTGCAAGGTGTAAACAAATGGTTAATAGGATAATAGGTGGTTGGTATCCGTGCATTCAGCTACAAAAATTTTTCGGGAGGGGAGAAGGAAGGTTCAGTGGCTTAAGGTTACATAGATACGGACATAATTGCACTCAAAGTTACCTCTTGGCATTGTGGGAGAAGGTCCCAGGCTGCAGCTACACAAGAAGTTTCTGCAACATCTCCCAGTGAATTGCAGTATCTAACAGGGCCAAAACAACTCTGCATGCAACACTGACAAAATCTTTTTATTCAGCACACAAAGGATATCACACAACCAAGGAAGTAGTTACGTGGGGGCGAGGAGAGACAATTAGAAGTTACGTGGTTTCCTTTTAAATTGTAGCTGCTTTACTATTCAACTGCTTTACTATCAATTTATACAAACAGAAGCAAGCGGTTCATTAATGCACTCCAATATGTACATGTGTGCATGATTTGGATAGGTGCAACCTGTAGTGAGGTCCTATATACTTCTTTTGTAACCACTACACAAAGTAAGTTAGGTATGCATGTGCATGGCTGTGCAGCATGCATATCTAGTCTGACGAGGCAGTTTGTTTTACCACATAACAATGGTCTCTGCTTAGGTCTGCAATATCTCCACACCACTGGTGGACTATTGTGGTTGCCGACAAATACAAACACCTCACAGTGCACTCCATGGAGTTGCTCTTGCAGTTGTAAAGTAATAAAGGAGAAACTTTGCTGGTGCTGCGTTGCAGATCAAGGTCTAAGCAGCACTACAATACGACTGTTATTAGCACAGCTAGCAGGCTTAGCTCTTCTTTTGTGGGCTAGCTCAAGCTAGCGCAGAGTAGCACTGAGTATAGCAGCACTGACGGTAGTCCGCCTGATATCATTTTTTGTAGGCTGTAAAAACACGACGCAGGCACCAGATCAGAGAGAGCTGCCCTGAGTATGTAGTACTATCATACAAAGCTTTTGACTTCAGCGTCGTGTGTGAATGTCTCTCAGGGCAGCTAGATAAATCAGAGGAATCAATGCTCACAGAGCGGGGCCTGCGTAGAGTCACTAGGTATCATCACAAGCTTTTTTGATTTGTGTGTGCTCGCCTCTACACGTAATAGTTAGTTTGGGGACTTCCGCCCACGTAGGTGAGCCATTGCGCATGCGCCAAAATTAGAGTCCGGAGAAAGTTTATTTAGAGTCCGAAAATTGCTCTACTCGAAGTAGAGTCCGCGCACCGGAACAATCAGATGCGCTATTTAAATTACCCAGCTCTAAAAAGGGACCTATATCGTACTACTGACTTAACTGCGAGTCGGCGTAAGGGAAGAGTCAGGACGTGAGCTGAATGAAGCTGGAAACTTTCTGCTAACAACGATCTCAATTGTTCATTCCTGGCTACACTCCAAGTCACCCTGCCTCCTCCTGCAAGGAGATCCTCCAGCTAGCCCCACAGCCTCCCTCAGGTATCTAACGGGATCAGTACAACTGACAATGGACCAAGTCAAATGTACTGTGACATGGAGAGGAGCTGCAGAGGTGTAGCTGGAGGCTGGATGAGGGTGGCTATAGACATTACTGACACTAGCATTGCCTGCCCGTCTGGTCTGAGGACCCTGACCTGAGAACATTAATGGTGGTGGATGCTCTTGATTGGCTAGAATGCAGTAGAGTAGTTATGTGTGACAAGATCATTGGATACTAGCAGGGCACGCAACGTCCAATTCTTCTTGTGACTGGAAGTGGAACTAATGCAGCCTAGCTACATGAATGACGATGCTGACTCAGTTCAGTAGACTTGGCATGCTTTATACCAGATTACCAAACTATAGCAACAACAGCAACAACTACAAATAACACAAAAACAACCTGTTGCTACTATAGACTCATGAATCTGATGACTCCTGCAAAGAGAGAGAGAGGGAGAGAGAGAGAGAGGAAAGGGAGTCATAGAGAGTGCAGATTCAGAATTTTGAACCATGAAAAGTCTCGTATACAGTGGAACCTCCAAACAAGGGAAACTATGGGGCCAACAATTTTCTCCCTTGTATAGAGGTCGTCACACGACCTCTATACAAAGGACACTCGTTTCAACCCCATGTTAGTACCTTGTATGTATTATTTTACCTCCGCACATCCTCCCTACAAAGGACAAAATCATTTGCCCCACAGTGCCCCTTGTTCGGAGGTATTATCCCACTGTATGCACAGTGCAATATACGAGTGGCCGTGTGAGATTAAGGTGAAACACAAATGTATTTCAACAACAAACAGCTAAAACACAAGGGAGCAAACAAACAGAACACTTTCTCGTGTAAGGTTTGTGGGGGGATCGAGGTGTCCTAACAAGGTCTACATGTTTGGTGTCCTAGAAGGCTGTCACAATGATTTTGCCTTTGACTCATGTGATCTAGTGAGAATATCATGTGCCATTTGCTAGTCTCTTAACCAGTCGCTTGGCTCAGTTTTGCCATGTTGTATACCTCAAGTCGCACCTCTTCCTTGCTCTCTTCCATGACCAGTTGGTATAACGTTCAATCAAGGGAAACAACATTTTCTTGTTCAGGACGTTTTCTCTATGAACATTTGTAATCGAGGCTTATTTTTACAGTTGAACGAGAAAACATAAAAAATTTTCCCTGGGAATTCCAAATTCCAACTGATTTTTTTGATCATTTCCTCCCTTCACTTAACAGTATGCATACATGTATGTTTCAAATTCGTCTTTTTCCGCACTGCACTGTAAGTATATACCTAGTAGTTTGATCACCTGACTATCATGTGACTCTCATGTGTGCAGATTACTCGCAGACCCAGAGTGATATTGACGGGGCCGCATTTGCTGCCGCCTACCGGCTCCCTACCCACTCCCAGACGATCCTCCATCCGTCCCCTTCACCCCAACTACTCCACACCCTCCCTACGTCCCCTATGAGGTATATATATAACACAATCTCAACCCCTGTTGGGAGCTACTGTAAATTTTCATGCAGTTGAACCCCTCCCTGAATGGGAATGTTACGGTGCATCAACCAAAATACCATAATGTTTACGTGATTCTAAATAGGCGCGAACACACGCACGAAATATTCAACTGCTTGCCAAAAATGCGTAGCATTCTTCCACTCAAGAATAGTTTTTTGCATTCTACATAACCCATGAAATAGCTTCACTAATATGGACACTTTATTTGTGCCAAAGGCATTGGAGAGCCAGACCTACAGCATTCACATATAATATGTTATGGTATTTGAGTACGTAGCTCCTTAATTTAACAACCACCTCCTTTGGGATTCTATAGGGGTTTGTTAAATTCCGATGAGAGCAGCATTTATTTGAGATCACAGGTAGAATACTTGCAAGTGTATTTCATGTGTCTTCATCCTTGAGCTGTTTACTGACACGAGGGAGGGGGGGTTGTGTGAAGACAATGTTTGGATGGCCTTGTTGCTAGCTCAACTGTCAGCTGACTTTAGTTACTGGTGATGTCACCACGAACAACACAGCGGAGGTTATATATATAATATGACCACCAGGGCCCCGTGGTGGAGATGCCACCGGCCCTCCCGGACGAGTACCCTATTGTCTACCACGCCACTATGTCCACCAGCCCACAGGTCTCAACTTCCCAGGCCTCCGGTGAGGGAGACTACGACCACATCAGACCATCCGCCGTCAAAGCCCCTCCCCCTCTCTCCCGGGTCAACCTGAAGCCGCCGCCCATGGCAACACTGGTCACTCCCACCCAACCAAACTCCTCCTCCAGTTCCCCCAACTCCCCTCGCTCCCCCGTCTCCCCCTCCTCTTCTTCCTCCAGCCAGAAACAGCAGTTCCCTCAGGAACTGACAGCGGCCATACAGAAGAGGTCCAACACTATTAGTTCTTCTGCCAGTTCCAGCCCCCAGGCCCCTCCACCCCCTCCCCCCAGAACTGCCTCAACCTCACATCAGGAAAGGAGGGGGCGGGCCCGAAACCTGGCCGCTCGATTCTCTCCCACCATGCTGTCACTCTACAGCAAGGAGAATCCCCCTGCCCCGCCCACACGCGGACCCCCGTCCCTACAGGGACAGGGCAATCCGTTAGCGAGCGATCACACAGGAGTACCTCCTCCTCCCCCTGTTCGTAGCTAATTTTGAACCTGTTATACATTTTATAGGGCAGGTTGCCGTGTATATTTTGTGTGGCCAAGCCAACTAAACTTTCTGTTCTTTGTACTTTTATTTATTGTGTGTTTCCCTATATTTTTGTTACACAAACAAAGATGTATCATTATGGAATTATAATAATGCATTGTTGAATAATTAAAGTGGCTGCCTTTAATTTGGCACCGTTGAACGTAATGCGAAGGTAGCTTCTGTGTGTAGTGTCACATGGTGAGGCTGGACATTAGGTAGTTGGCCAGGGTTTCCCTCTCCCTTTCTCCCTCCTCTCTTCCTGACGACAAATGGTACACATCCTCTGGAACATCTGTGGAGGTAGTATAATTATAGTAGGGAGCAGCTCTTTACAACAACAAAAATGATCATCAGTTTTCCGTGAGAAGCCATAAAATCTCTAAACCATGATATTTAACCCTTTTGACACAATAGGTATCTCCTTCAAAAAAACTTTTATCGCCTAGTATTTAACTCCTACATAACCACCCCCCATTTATGGAGGCTCTGGACACATAATTGCAGCTGGTTAAGTTTTAAAACACTTTGGATGCCATGGTATCCCCTTAAATCAATTTCTGCTTATTTAAGGACATGGCACCCAAAGTGTTTTAAAACCTAACCAGCTGCAATAATGTGTCTATAAGTGGGGGGTGGTTATGTGGGAGTTTGATGTATACTTATGGACTTATGGAGGCTCTGGGCATATGTGCCTGTGGCTTGCTAAGGGTTTAAGGTCCTGGTTAACCAAACTACAGTCTGGGTGAATGAGCTTTTTGTATCATAACCAGCATTAAGCTACACCCACAGGAGCACATGATGGCAGAACAGAAGTCAACAATCAGATGCAGCAGGGAGAGCCTGGGGTGTCTACGTACGTGGGAGCTGAGTGAATGTACCTCAGAATTTAGAACCTGGCGCTTGGCATTTTTTGTGTGAACTTATAAAATTGAACATACCTTCAAGTGAAGAATGGCAGATCTGCTGGACGTTTTCACCTGACAGCTCCATCATGATACATGGACCTGTATCATTATGAGTATATATCTAATCATTGACAGTCACTGTGGTTGAGTTGGTATGTCTGATGCTTCATACTTTATCAATCGATAATGTAACATAAATGTGCCTGGAGAGAGTTAAATAAAGTTGACCTGTCTTGATCTTTGCCAGCAAGCTCCTGTGGTCACCAAAGAAAGCCTGTGCCTCGTTTCCCTTGAAATGAGAGTGGCAGGTCTGCACTAGCACCACCTGGATTCAGAGTGTCCACAGAGAGATGAAGTTCAGATTGAGGGTTAGGGGCTATACAGTCATATCATTTGCAGACCTGATCCTGTAGCTTTGTAAGTAATTCTCTGGCTCTGCTCTCTCTCTCCTCTCCTATCATCACCACCACACAACCCTGTAAACACACACACACACATACATAGATACAAGACAGTTTCTCTCACTTTTTTGCCTTCTCACGTAGCTATCCCTATGCGCAAAAAACTTTGCAGTAATGAAAGGGAGTGGTTTAGTTTGTTAACAGAAATGGATTATATACATTCTGGCATTTTCCACAGCTTTTATATACATTATCCAAAGGGTATTCTCCTTATGTGCTAGCATTTTATGCATGCAGCTATTCCATGGGCAATATTGAAGGCAAACACCTTTCAAACCTATGCATAGTGTGTGTATCCATTAGTTCTTTCCCCCATTCCATTCAGTGCTCATAATCATGCTTTCGTCCCCTTGCTTTCGTCTATATTACCTCTGATTCAGTCGGTCTTGCCAAAGGCCCAGCAGAATAGGGAACTGTACTTCGACCTCTCTGGAATGTTAAGCCACACCCATTAATGTCCCCCTCACTCGGTGGTGTGATGGGAGGCGTGGTCTCTTGGGCAAAGGACCAATCAGATTCTCCGCCCTGGTTGGTGAAGTTGTGGATGTGACTCCATTGGTTGTTGAATGGGTGAAGATCAGCAGAACTGAACTGGTCTGGGCAGTAGGTAGAGAAAGATAATTCACTGATTACTACACAAGTTATCCCAGCCTACGAACATCTCCTGCATTAAAATGTCATGGATGGATATCAACCTCAACATAAGTTAAGAGTTCTCTTGCCAACAGCCTCATAAACATACAACTAGCTGGTACATTTTTGATTTAAAATGTGGATTCGTAACAGTTATGACGATTGCATGCTCTTCAAAGTGCTTCAAAGTCTGTGAATTTGACTGCTTCTTTATCATCCTGAGAGGGTTACAGTTAGACTTTAGTTAATTATGGTAAAACTTACACAGTTTATCCTATATAGTTTTTAACAGTTGCAGATTGCATTGAGTGTGTGAATAAATTGACTTCTTGTGTTGTGTTTATTGATAGTGAGAGGGTTACAGTTAGTATGTAGCTATATACCTCTGAGTTTGTCATAGTCGGCCTGGAAGCAGCTAAACCTGAGCCTGTGACTGGACTCAATGACAGGCTGGCTCTTGCAGTGGAGGTAGACTGTACACTTCCTGCAGTCTCTGGCTCTGAACTGCTGACACGCCACTACCACTGTACAGCCCTCACACTGCCTCACAAACACACTGTGCACAGAGTGATAGTGGGAGACGTTTTGGATGAAACTTGTTTGAAAGTACAATACAGAAATTGTCCTTCAAATTATGCAATACACAACTCATATATAGCTTTTTACTCATAATGGGTCATTAAGCATAAGAGTCCATAGAGCATTGGTACACTTTAATTGATGTATAATATTTAATATACAAAATTCTTGTCATCTTTCACCAGGTTATTGGCGATCTGAATGCAGGATTTTTCTATGTAGCTATGTGGCGGGCACTGCACATACTGCACTGTTGTACGTGATTTATAAATACGGGCGTGAAAATTTTAACTACTTGCTCATTTGCGCTGCCAAAACTGCGATGCATTCGTTCTATATGTTGTTTAAAACTCACTACAGTGTCATACCTGCCTCCACATGGCCCCAGTACCAAGGTGCAGTCAGTGCAGCCATGGATGGTGAGGGAACTTGTAGTGTCCAGCACAAAGATCTCACACTGCCTGCAGTCCTGGATGTGGAACTGACGACCACTCAGTTGCCCCGGCAACCGGCAAACAACCACACCCACTTGGCCCGATATGATGAGCTGGCTTCGATCAGGGGCGTTCTTTCTTTTCCCTTTAAATCATGGATAGCAAACCCAAGAGTAGCTATACCAAATATAGTTGAGTGCACACTGTTTTTGGTATCATAAAACCAAGATAAACTGCATTCTGCCTAGTTAGCCAACATTGATCTAGAATGAGCCTTTGTCATTTCAGTTCACCTCGACATGCACTTAGACTGGACTCAGGTGTAATACCTAGGAAAGAGGGGTCACAATTCTGCACACCCTATATAGCTACGTGTTTCAGACATGATCTACACTGCACTGTTTTAAGGTAGCTAATCCCCTTCACCGAGTTTATTTACCAGCTGTATCTGGGTCTGGTCTCTGCAAGAGGCTCTCTGTCTCTCCTCTCTTCACCACTGGACACACAGCACCCCATGATCGACTCTCGCTCGGAGCCGTCTGCGGAGAGGCTACTACTCAGATCCACCCCTTTCTGGGAGGCTGTAGCGCATGCGCATTACACTTAGCGTGGCACGCACATGCACCTCAGCTAGCTCGCGACGCGACCAGAAGTCGCGGTAACCACTGATTTTGCTGCGCAATTTTCTCACTGAAGTTTGGGAAATGCAAGTTCTAGTCTTGCTAGTGGCTCTGCTGAGTGTGTGTTCTTGGACCACACTAAGTGTGGATGGTAAGATTCTTAGCTAGCTATGTAGCTGTGTGCATGACGGCGAAACCCGTTAGCTATAGCTAGAATAATAAGGACATAGCTCCCTGCAGATAAACTTTTGCTTGAGAAATGTGTGAAATTTGCTAGATTTGGGATATTTGGGATATTTGTGCTTGAAATAATGCTGCGTACCCTTTCAAAACTTATGGGTGATACGCATCCCAGGATCTCACAAATAAGACAAATATGGCAAATTTCTAGTGGGATGAGCAGTATTCAATTCTTCAAGCAAAAACCTTGATGGTTGGTGGGTAGGATGCCCATAGCTACGTCTGTTACAACAATTCATAATCACTGCAGGTGTGACCATCTCTCTGAATGGCGAGCCTATTCCAAACAATAACATATCAAGGAGAAGTGTGTACGACTTTGAGTTTGTGAATTCAAATGATGATTTCAACAGAGCTATGAGGTGTCAGTCTGAACTGTCTGTCTCTGAAATCCCTGCAGCTACTTATGCATGTCATGTTGGTGGTGGAGATAGTCCAGTCCCTTGTGCTTATCCAGAAGAAGAGTACATAGCGTTTACTGGTAGTAGTTGTTGTGTAACTCGAGGATGGAGTGCAAGGAGACTACCTGATGAAGGTGGTCGTAGAGTACACTACTTGTGGAGAAGGTCGGAAACTCCAGAGGAAGGATATATCAACTGTCATATGATTGGTGACATTAACCCTGTATTAGGACTGTACATCCTCTACCCCAGTGAGTGGCCATCTCTCATGGTGTATATATAGTGAGAGATTGTTCTCCTCCTCCAGTCACTGAGGTAACTGCAGCTATTGAGGTGGAGGCAGGAACATTGACATTCAGAGTGAGGTGTACCTCCACTGGTGGTAGAGCTCTCAACATGGCCGTCTCTGGACCTAATGGATACAACTCTGACATCAGTGCAAACATACAGCCAGTGGGCACTCCAGAGTTTCTTAGTAATGACGTCTACACTGCCAGGACTGAAATTATATCCAGTAGCAGAGATGGAGATATATTCCAATGTAATGTCACTAGTGTCACATCAACAACTGCTAATGTAGCGGTGAGAGGTAAAGATTTCGATTTCAGATTATCAACCATGTAATGGCGGCGCGTGGTTTACAAAGGGCATGGGGGCGCAGCCTGAGTGGTCTATCAAAACTGAAGCCACGAGTGTGCAACCAGTAGACCACTAAACGTGTTTGTACGATGAAATCCGGCGGTAAGGCCTTGACCAATGAGATTCCGCAAAAGCGTTTAACGCACACCACCTTCTAAAAATGCGGAGAGAGCTGGCTAGCGAAGAGCGACGGCTAGCTGCGTGCGATAAGCGCTTTAGTTTAGTCCAGCTGCGAGTTTTGACTCATAAGCAACAACGGGTATATACGTCAAAGCTACTTTTTTCGTTGCTGGACCCCAACGCGTAGGCTCGTTTTTGTCTCCCGCGCCATACGTACCTAGCGCTCTCGAATGCGCGGTTTAGCTACGGTCATTTCTCGAGAGTTCAACGTTACAGGTATAAACGTCAAAGCAATGTTTTGGGTGCTGGACCCCACGAGTAAGTTTTATAGCTGTCCCTCTGGCTCGCTTTCTCTCCCGCCATGCCCAGCGATCTCGAATGCAGCGTGTTACAGTAGCAAGAAAGCTGACAGTCACTGAATACTTGTTTTGTGGCTTTCTATGTTTTGGCAGCCGTACACTCAGCAGGAAGCGCTCACTACCAACCCTACCAACTCTCATACTGCCACTCTGACAGTCAGTGCTCCCTCCACTACTGTCAGTATTGCTGTAGGCGGAGATGTGGGGTCAACAGTGACTGATATGTTGAGAGCCTACACCACATATGAGGTGACTGTCAATGCAGTCAATGATGTTAGAGGTACCAGTCGACCCAGGGTGATCAGGAGAGTTCTAACACCACAGACAAGTTAGACCCACCAAATAGTCTCACAGTCTGTGCGTATGGTGTGTGTGTATGTGCAGGTACAGGAGAGGCTCCTGGGAATGTGAGAGCAGAGGCTGAGAGCTCCACTGAGATCTCTGTCCAGTGGAGTAGCCTCTCCAACTGTAGACTGGTCAATGGTCGAATCACTCAGTACAGAGTTCAGTTCACTGCCAACGGCAGAGCTGAGACTGTAGACCAAGTGCCAGGAGATGGAGAAGACTGGATGAGTGGAGGACAAGTTACACTGACTGGACTCATTTCCCTAACCAACTACTCCATATCAGTAGCAGCTGTGAATAAGAATGGAGATATTGGACTGTATTCTGAGCCTTTAACCGTACTACCTCTGCAAGCAAGTAGGTCACATGTACAATGTCCAAGTGTAGCATACTGAACGATTTTCAGTGATAGCTGATCAGAACCTAGGCAACTATCATAACTGACTATATCCACAATAATGTATCCACTAAAGTGCAGTAGTATTTCGTTTTTTTCTCAATCTTATGTCCTACTATACGAGCCTTGAACATGACTACTCGAAATTGATGAAGAACACTTGGAGACTGGCGTCGGCTCCGGCCTCTACAACCTTTGCTCTGTACCACACTTCGTCGGTGTACCGAGCCAGTCCAAATACGCCAATATGGATGGTAAAACAGTATTGACTGTGGCTCCCGTGAGCACTTTCTCGATTCATCTCTTTCCCGACTCTGACAAATCTCCACATGCATACACTATTATTCGTTATTAACCCTCGGCGCGCATGCGCAGCGAGGATTACGGTAGTTGTCATGTGTGTCCTTCTGTCTGTCCGTTACCCAACATCTCACTTCACAAGCCATGAATCGGTCCACAAACAAGACCACGTATTCAGTGTAGGATAAAGGTCCAAAATTATGTGTTGTTTTCTCTGAAACTGCTGGGCTCGGGATATTATCAATGCTTGATTACGTAATGATTTAGTTCAGAATCTAATTTAGTACAGATACGCTAACTGTCATACTCTTCCCCCTATAGTAGTGGAGCTGGCAGAGACATCCTACACTGTATCAGAGTCAGATGAAGTGGTTGAGGTGTGCATCAAAGCAGTTGGTACCACTTCTTCGTGTCCCAGCACCGAGTCTTTCCATGTCACTCTCTCCACCAGTGATCAAACTGCAGGTAGCTACCAATACATTGAAGACCCTATGAGAACCACCCATTAATAATAATTCTAACAAGTGGAAAAATCATTTCTTCAAAATGAAGGGGGATGTAGGGATGGCGTAAATTATGAAAAAGGATGCCAACAAGAAGATGCTTCAGCCGACAACAAAAATCATACATCCATCCCTACATCTTTCTTTCTTTTGCTCTGTCTAAGAATGTGTAGCTAGGCACTCGTTATTGGGAGTAAAAGGGATTAATTCATAACAAAACACAGTTGAGGTTGTGAGTTAAAGAAAGATGTAGGGATGGATGTATGATTTTTGTTGTCGGCTGAAGCATCTTCTTGTTGGCATCCTTTTTCATAATTTACGCCATCCCTACATCCCCCTTCATTTTGAAGAAATGATTTTTCCACTTGTTCCACTTACTTTTGTAGCACATGATCAGCCCCACCCTTTTCGCGGAGCAGAGCGGCGAGCGAGGAGCAGCAGGGTTCACACCCGTGTGTGTGGAGATTTATGCACTGCAGATTTGTGTGATTTGAAGATTTGATCTCACACACACTCGCAGTGCATTATGGGGGCAGGGGCGATGTCCGTAACGTTGTTTGCAATTTTTGCACGATAGACTAGTGGGCGCATGCGCAAGTACAAAACTAACCCAACATTCATTGTACAATATGCTTTGTTGTGAATTGTGAAGGAAAGTTTTTTCTTTAGGAGAGGTCTATTCCAGCTGAAGTGAAAGGTATAGAGGCCAAATCAGGGGTATATAGCTAGTAGCAAGCAGGCAGTAGGAGCCAGAAGTTTGCAGGGTTCAGGGTCTAGCTTGAGAGTGCAGTTGCAGTCCAACTCCTATATAGATAGAGATAGTATGCACCATCAAGTGAAACACAAAGCATAATACAGAGGAGTAGACAGACAATGTATGAGTAGGCTTACAATAGTACAACAAACGCTAGGTCAGAAGTGGTATATATAAGGGTGCAGGAATGTATATACAAGTCAGCAGTGGTGATAAGGGGTAGGAAAACACTTCAGAGCCCCACCTGCCCAGCAACTCACAGATAATCTTATAAGGAAGCTGTACAGGCTATATCCAGAAGCTGTTTACTCTAGCAGTAAACAGCTGAGGGGATATCTGCTGAAGATAACCAAGGCGTTAACCAATTTGTAGCCTAGCAACCGTACTAATTGCCTAGCAAGCATATCATTTTACCGCGGTTGTGAGAGAAATCGGTGGGCGAGACGAGGGAAAGGAGGCCGAGAGCATGCTTGCGTGAGCCCATGCTGCCTGTTGACCGTTTGTTCGAGCGATTACTACTTTAGCTAGCGGTGTAGCGTGCAATTGTAGCGGGCTGCTGTAGCGCGGACCAAGCAGAGAAGACAAGACGCCGCACAGACCTGGAATGACGTTATTTGGAGTCTCCTTCGTATATCACGTACGCTACAGCTCAGCTATGGTGCAGCTAAGCCTGACATTTTTGAACAGCGTGTTCAAAACGACACAAGTGGCGCACGGCACACAGCCCTCTCGCTCCAGCTCTCGCCTTTTTCTGGCTTGCGCGCGCATCTTCTCGCTTACTGGCTCGCCACTTTTCCCTTGCGTGCCAGCTTGGGATGTAGCCACAGCCATCTACAGCTTACCAAAAAAGGTCACTGCCCATTGTTTGCTCATTAGATCGTTGTGTAAACTGTGGCTACCCAGCCAGTGAATACTCATATTGACTGAATTAAAGGCAACCATACATCCTTGGGATATGTGTATTGATGTGCTGGCTGCTTGGAATACTACTAGCGTGGTGCCTTTGAAAATCAGCAAAACTAGGCTACAATGGCTGGTTATCCTTCCCACTGTCTGCATTACCTCTATAGTGCAGCCATATCAGCAATATTTTTCTTAAATGGGCTCACAGCTGCCTTTCCTTACCAGGGTCAGCATGATAGGTATTAGTTAATGTATAGGCGGCGAGGCGGTACAGGAGATACTCCGAGGCTGTTGACTATACCGGACGAGGGCGTAGCCCGAGGCCGGTATAGTTAACAGCAGAGGAAGATTTCCTGTACGCGCTGAGACGCCTGATATTAACTGATTTGTAGTCCAACTAGCCAATCACAATGCTGAATTTCTGCTGTGTCATCCTGCACTAATCACTAATGGACTGTTGTGTAAACTTTGGAAGCCAGACAATTTGCACTACGCCTAGCGCTAGATGTTGTGATAAGGACTTCCTGTCCAATACTGATACCAGTGCAGCCTGCAGCCCACAGCTCAGAATACAGCGTATATTCCTAGCACGGGTTGTTTGAGTTGGACTACAAGTGGCCCTAGCCACTGCCTTTACCTTACCAGGGTCTGACCGACAAAGGGATCTACCTCTAGCCTTTATATTCTCAGAATTATGCACATAATATCTACTGCCATCCTTCTTTTCGAGCGATAACGCAAAAATTTGAACTTATCTCAAAGGATGGAGAAGCCCAGGTGGCAGTGGTGACAGCAGAGCAGTGGTAGAGCGCAGTGGAGGGCCTTGCGACTGAAAGAACAGGGTGGGGTTCTTGTTATCAGCCATGACTGTCAGCAGAGAAGTGCTGGCTAGAGGCCGAGGGGGTGCAGAAGGTTGAACTGGAAGGAGAGTCGTTAGGCACCCCTATTAAAATAGGCAATGAGGGAATGCAGACAACTTGCAGGGGTTACCTTGAAACATAATTAACTGTGGCCCAAACTCCAGAAACCCAAGCTGCAGTAGAGTACAGACCTGGAGTAAATTATACGTGATGATAATTGCAATAGCAAGACTTACTTTTGACCGTGGCGACTCCAGCACAATAGTCAGCAGTGCGGACAAGACAGACACGGAGTGTCACGTGAAGGTGACAACGTCAGGTTGTGGCCGTCCCGTGGAACCTCGAAAGAAAATTGGCAATGAGCTGGATTTCAGCTAGCTAAAGTACACACAACAGTAGCTCCTTACCAAAAGACGGATAGCTAGGCCGAAAGGATCGGGAGCAAACCCAGGCGAGTGAAAAACCATCGGCCGCACGACGGGGACCACGTGGTCCGCTCTAACGCCGCGCCCCTGTCTGGCGAACGGCGTACGGCCGGCTCACTGATGCTGAGTTAACAGCAAATGGCGTCGTTCAGTGTTGACCATGGAAGAGCTCCATGATCTACCGTAGTGACTTGCGGCAAGAAAGAAATGATCGCTTGGTGTCCGTGCACACCTCCGGCGAAATTGGAGACGTTTAGTGAAAAAATCAGCGCTTCAACTGGTACTGGTAAGGAGATAGCGGGTTTAAAGAAGAAGAAGATGAAGAATATTATGATGACACGAAAACCAGAAATCGCGTATGAGCGGATTCTCGTGTCGAGAATTGCAGGGACGTATGGAACTTTTGGGCATATGTATAGGTAGATATGGACCCGTGAGTGATTTTTGGTGTGTTTTGAAGGCATAGCTAGCCATACAGTAGTCTTAGGAGCAATTTCTTAGTTGCCCTGCAGGGGGTGCTTGCCTGCTTGGGGATGATGGGTTTGAGCATTTCCAGTCGCTTGATAGTTTCATAAAAGCATCCTTTATTTTGGATACTGAGGAAAAATTTGGTTCTTTGCTTGGCCTTGTGGTTTTATTTTGGATGTTTGGGAGCTAAGAAAGGTTAGGTTATACAGCGATAATCCCAGCGTACAACAGACCCAGTCTCAGATTGCGTCTGGGGAGTAGCAGGGTGTCGCTGGTGGAAGGGGTGAGTTGAGGTGTCTGGGAGGTGAGACAGACACCTCATGTTCATACGTATGGTGTATGTTCGTTTGTTAACGGTTCTGCCCATTGCTCTGGGTGCGTGGTCTATGGCCCTAGTGCTATGGCAGCCACCTGAGTATTATTATTATTATTACTACAAAAGCTATTCACACTAACTCAGCATACACAACATCTCTCAAAAAGTTAAAATGTCTTAAAGCAAAGGTGTACAAAAATTCTCTCAGTCCACAAGCAATACTGCTAAATAGCCCTGGGTTACATGAACTACATGGTGAACATACGTAGCATGGCATCTGTGACAATTAAATGCGTGCACAGAGCGTAAAGGAATACTATCAGGCTACTTCAAACTAAAACAAAGTCTGCGATCCAATCCGTTTTGTGCTCTACGTATCACAAAAGAATACTCTGTGCAAATTTATACGTTGTTACTTGTCTATTAACAGAGTTCCCTCGCTACAAGGGCTGAGGAAATAGAGCAGGCTCTGGCCTGTGCCAATCGCAGTAGCTCTCTCTTTGAGGCATCGTATCAATCTGACTGCTCCATAGATATAGAGGAGGGCATGTGGTATCATCAGCACTGCTACGGCAGCCACAGCCATTGTTTGTGAGTAGGAATAGACATCTAGAACGGTAGCTATAGCAGCTGCAGCCGTAAGGTTAAGGAGAAGAAGTGTTCCAGAAACATTGGCTGCTCTCTCTTGGTGTGGCTGAAACACCAGACATGCTATAGCCATACCTACTGCCAGAGGTAAAAACATAACAGACCAGGATATATGAGGTGAAAATACTCCGTAAACTATAATGTTTAGTGCTGTGAGTGCTATCCAAGCAATGAAAACAAAGCCAGCGACTGAACGGTAATCTTTTGTTCCGTTGAGTCCACTCTTGTAACTACCGTAAAAAACATCAGTGAATATTTTCATTGCAAGAGCCCGCCTCGGTTTCAGACGCTTGCTTAGTCTTCGAAAGCAAGCAGTGGGATAGAACAGTAACAGAAGTGTAGGTGGCAACAGAATAAAGAGGAGAATGACAGCCGAGAGGAACACAACTGGTAAGTGACTGCGACTGAACGGTACAACCATTGGATCAATAGACGAAACTGTTTCGTGTATCTCGCCATTCATGCTGTGGACACTCGTGGGAATCATCGAATCTGTGACAATGCTGAAAAACTTCACAA